TGGCACCATTCGTTTTTTAATTATCGTCTTCCAAACAAGTCAATCGTATTTTTGCACAAAAAAAATGTAACTTTTGACCTGCGGTCGAATACCTAATAATTGCCGACGAAACTGTTTCTACTGTTTTCGAAAAAATGTGGCTATCTCGTTGTCGACCGGCTCGTGATATTTAAACTTTGAGTTGGAAATGATGTTCAAGTTGAACGCCCGCCTCGTGTCGGCCAGTTATGTGCAATCGAAAGGCATTGTGTGGATGCGACGCGCTCGAATAGAATAGAACTAATTATAATTATGCTCCGCCTCCGCTCGGCCCATCCATTGCGACAGGAACCTGCATGACGCATATTCCGATTAATAACAGCGAAGCTTCTTATGCGATTATTCGAGGCATTTTGTCGGTTGTGTTGATTAAGAAAGATAACTTTATCGGTAGTCTCAATGACTTTGAAAAGCTACGAACCGAATGTTAACATAACAAAAAATGGCGTATTTCTGGTCGATATGACTCGCAACAGATATAAATTACGATTGATTACGGTATAAACATATTTAATATGATCTTGCATGATATAGAGTGTCATGTTGCATGATGTCAATAAACGATGGATATTACAACTTTCAACCTAATATACCGAGGCATAATGTACCTACGTTTTATATAAACATTTCAGCCCCCGCAGCATGGCTACGCACGACAGTCGCGAAGCACGCCATATAAATGGAATAAGCGCGAGCTATTGGCTGTCCCAATCAGATCTAATGTAGATAGCCAATAGCGCGCGCTTATTTCAATTTTATCACGCGCGTCGCGACTATCATGCGTAGCCATGCTACGGGGCAGATATAATATTCACTGATTATATACTGATGATATACTGAGTATAATGTATCACAAATACAATCCCAGAGTCAAATTTAGGTGCGCCGACGACGACGTGTATTGGGCTCGAAAACACATTAAAATTAATTTTATAGAACTGATACTTCCCCTGATAAAATATGATAAAATGCTGCACCGACTTCAAAACTAACCGATTAGATATTGTAAATATTTCTGTACAAGTATCAATATTTCTTTTAGTAGTAAAGTATAATTTCAAACCGATCAGTACTAGTAATAACATTTTAATAAAATTATAGGTGATTGGTCGTGAATTCTCACGAAGCAATAAATAATCCATATATTCAGATAGATTGATTAATAAATAATTATAATACTGTGTACTAAAGGAAATAAGGCAAAAATAAATAAAAAGTATTAGGAACATCGTTGTCTTTTGGGTTAAATCTCTATTTAGTTATTTTTCACTTTTTTGTGCAGTGATTTTTTAAAACTTTGTTTATCTTTACTGCCTCCGTGGCCGAACGGTTACCATGCCGGACTGCCACGCAGAGGTCCCAGGTTCGATTCCCGGGCCGGGAAAAATATTTGTATGGCCTACAATTATTTCTCTCGTGAGTTTGGGTGTAATTTGTGGTTGTCTATGTGCGTGTCCATGGCACCCGCGACACAGGGTTTCCCTAGTGCGGGGCTATGTTGAGTGTGTGCGTTTTGTGCGTTAATCTTTCCATTTTTAGTGTAAATATACCTAGGCAGGTAAGTCGCATAGTGCTTAGTTAAGCACCTATATTAATTCAATTGTTCCTAACCTAGCGCAAGGCCAGACCTACAAACTAAAAGTGCAGTCAGCATAAAGGCAAAAAGGAGTGGAGAAACTATTCAACACCGTAAGGAACGACTATCAAAGAATTTCAAGCAAAATGCCATATCGCATTCCCAAGAAACACCACCAGCTTGTCAAGAGAGATTATCAAAAGAGTGACTGAACAGCACAAATAGCGACTAAATGTTATTCGTGACCGTTTGTATAACGAAACTTCGGAGCAACGCTTTCAGAGGCTAACCTCAATGAGACAGCGTAATATTAAGGCACCAAAAGCTGAAAATGAAGAGAAAAGAAGAAAACGATTACAGAATGTGCGTGAGACTTCCCGCAGAAGTGGAATGGTAGGAGAAAACAATTTTAACAATGCTGTCAACGAATTTACTGATGTTCCTGTGTGTGGTGTATATAAAACATGTTGTATCCTAAGCAGAGATGCCACCTAGACACGTGATGATGACAATCGTCTTAATCATTCCATTCAGGTGTTTGAGACTGAAAGTCATCCCGACATGACATTGAGCTGATGATAAGTCAAAGTCACGGAGAAGGTGACTGTCTTACAAGTCCAAGTCTATCCGAGAATGTTTGATTTGTTAAAGTTCCACAAACACACTAAGTCCATATTATCTTTATTTCATAGGTAAGCAAATTACACTTGAAATCGTCATACTGATTAAACCATTAAACCGGCTCATTCGTAAGGTAGATTCCCCTGAGAAGAGTGAGCAAGAAACTCTAAGGGTTGCTTTTTATAAATATACTTTTGAATACATTTATCATTGCAATGTATAATTTAAACATCTTAGATCGAGAATACCTGAAAGAGCTAAACGGGTCACTACCAAAGATTTTTGTCATCCAAGTACACATAAGATGTATAATAACCTTTAGTATGAAGTTTTTGTTTCCGAATAGTTTTAAACCTCGTAAATAGCAAATTTTGAATATCAATCGGAATCTCATTATAGAAGCGTATGCATTGAGCCTTAAATGAATTTAAGACTTTATGAAGACGACTATCAAGAACTGCTTGTTTATTTTTATTCCTCGTATTAATGTTATGTCTGTCACTATTTTTTTATTAACAAAAATTAATATTTTTTATAAAAGAAGCACAGCATTTTCATAAATGTACTGTGACGTCAGTGTAAGATTGTTAATCTCTTTCAACTTATCTCTCATAGACACTCTGGGGCCCAGACTGTAAATTGCCCTAACCGCACCTTTTTGCAGGACAAACATTCTATTAATATCGGCGGCTTTTGCCCAAAGTAAAAATGCCGTATGTCAATAATCTGTGAAAGTAGCTGAAGTACACTAATCCAGCTGTTTCGATGTCTGAAAGTTTTCTTTTTTTATTCCGTACACAGCAGAGCTGAGCCGTTTTGATAACTTATTTATATGTATTTCTGCCGCCAAGCAGTGTGAGCACTCCTGCGTTCCGGTTTCAAAGGGTAGGGGTGCTGGTGAAATTACAGGCACATGGGACTTGTCAACACATGTCTCAGGGTGACGGGCGCAGTGGTGTTGCCCCTCAGATCTTTTCAATTTAAAGCTCTGAGTGGTACTGCAACTGGTATGGACAGGCGTGTCGCTAACCACTATGCGCACGACTTGTTTGTGCTGTCACTTATTATTATACAAACAGAAAAAAGAGAGTTTCCCTCGATTTCCATGGTCTTTAATTAATTTCCTTTCATCAGATTCTAATTTGATGTCAATGCGACCACTTCGAGAGCATACCCTTTCAAAGTAAAAAGTATTTTCAAAATCGGTCCATAATTTATTGACGGACAAATAGATGAACATACGTAAAAAATACATACAGTCGAACATAGAACCTAATCCTTTTTTATTCATTTATATTAAAGGTATGCACAGCATTATACATAGTAAGGGTAATTAATTTGGAAGCACTCGAGTATGACCGGTCTGTCTATATACCAGTGGCGAGGCATGAACATTTTCCTTGGTAAAGCCGAAGCTTTAACTTTTTGAAGAAACAAAAAACATTTACTTTAACAAAAATTTCTTTCAAAAGATTTTTGCGAATGTGTGCGTTTTGTGGAAGCGCGTAGATTTCATGAATGAAATAGAACTCGCAGATCCACCGGCTTGCCTCGCGCTGATTGATCGAGATGCATCGGGACAAGTTATTACCTTCGCATTTAATAGTGAATATTTTGAATATGTTTTTTAAGTGATGGGGTGTGCGCGCTGTTTAGTACTATCTTTTGGTAATACGCGGAAAATTTTAGTCAAGCCTTGTTATGTGGATGCCTCGCCACTGCCATACACGCAACTAGACTTTCTTTGCAAAAAATCCAACAATTTTGCATTCAACGATTTGATACCTGCAAATAGCAAAAACAGTTAATTTCACTAGTAATTTTGACGACATTCTGTCACCTATTTACCACTAATAATGTTCAGTTCACAATTTGGAAAAAAATTATTGTATCTTCTCATAATAGAGCAAAGCGGAAACATTCTACTACAATTGGCTTTTTTCAGTTCAATTGTAAAAGCTTTGTAATTGCCTAGCTGATATTCTAGGTATTTTTAAGTTTATCGGGGACAGGAGAGACGGACAATCCGTATCACGGCTTAGTAATTTATACAAATGACTGAAGGCCAGTTGCTCCTTTCGATGTTGCAAACGAGTTAACCTTTCGCCATATAGCTTCCGACCGTGTGGTAAATCTGTATGAGATACTTAAGAGACTTTTTAGGAAACTTATTCTGAATTTCTCAATACGAAAAATATTATTTTGACACGACGGGCCAGACCATGCTATGATAATGCCCATGGCTGTGCACCAAAGCACGGTGGAGTATTTTCAAAGCACAAACCGATTAGATTCCTTAGAATTTCTCAATGGAACATTAACATTCTTAACCTATATTTATTATTATATATTTTTCTGAGTTATGAATGTATTGATTATTATTTAACAGTCGTTAAACAATTAGGTAAGTTTCTATTAATTTCTAAATAAATATTAATGTCCAATCCTCAGGCTTTCACGATTGCTGCTTATTGGGAATGAAACTTTTCTTCGAGTCTAAAATGTATGTTTTAAATTAAGTATACACGATTTAACAACAGATGGTTTTATTTGTAAAAAATAAGTAAGTATATCATAAATTATCAAGACGTAAAGATTCTCAATTCACTTACTCTTGGATGTCTAGACATCATGTTCGGGTTATTGCACGAGAAATCAGTTTTCACGATGCAAGGGTTCGCAGCAAATGCTTATTATTATTCTCGGAAGGCGCTTGTATGATAGTACGAGTGCGAGGGCATGAGCCCTTCGTGTCCCGAGTTACCTGCACTCTCGCCTCGCTGAGGTCCAGACGCAGCGCGAGCTCCTCCCGTGTGAACACGTCGGGGTACTGCGTCTTGTCGAAGGCTCGTTCCAGCTCGTGCAGTTGGTACGTCGTGAATGTAGTGCGGCTGCGGCGCACCTGCTTCGGCCACACATGCACATTCATTACTCAATAATCCACCGCTGGGCCCGGAGCTACTCGCCTGCCGAGCTATATTAACTGGCCACAACTGTCCCGCGTTAAAAAAAATGGATATTGATGCATAAAACCAAGTCTCAGGAATTAATCATCATCTTAGTAAATAATTATTTTGGGTTTCTCGGTGACCCATAGGTGATAACGTGTTTAATGATGCAGGGTAATATTATTTTTATGAAGTTTATTAACTTCATTGGAGTTTGATTGGAACGTGTGCAAGTGATAGAGTTTAGTAGCAAGTTACCTTGCGTGGTCTGCCGGCATCCATGGGCTCGCCGATCTCGCTGGCGTCGGGCGCGTGATCGGCGCGCGGCTCGTCGTGTTCGCCGGGCTCACCGGACTCGCCGGGCTCGCTTTGCTCGGGCTCATGCTCCGAGTCGGATTGCACACCGCTTTCGCTCTTCAGTTCGATGTGATCTACGACGAACAGAAGTGTGCAATTAAAGTAAGGTTCCAGAATTATTTAATGGGGATGGCATTATGGATAATTTCCATTGTTAGCTTATTAACGTACAAAACTCGCCAGATGACAAAACGATTAAATTTAAATTGTAGCAATGTCCGAATTACCGTTGTTGACTGAATGGTGAATGGTGAACTGGTAATCCTCGCGAGACGAGACAAGACGAGGGGACGTCACGAGAAACAAATCTGTTATTGACAAGCGATGAGTTTAAACGGCTGCTAATCGCCATTCGAGACGCTCGTTCCCACGTGGACCCGAACCGGCCGAGCCCCAACCCTCGCGTGCACACTACTAATTACGGCGTAGTGTTACTGCATTATGGGCTCTATCGCATTGCCAATAAGTGCGGCAATGGGCCCCATGAAACCTCCATACCGAACAAAATACTCTTTTTGTGATACACTTAACGTCACTTGATGTTATTCGTTCCACTATTTATTTATACTAATTCTATTTTTACATCATTGTTGCAATTGTGCGCGCGCAGCTCAGTACATCACAAAGCGAATGAAGAGCTAATAAAAGGGCAAAGGTTATTGTGTTACGGAACTTTGGAGGGTCTCGTCGGTGGGGGCCGAGAGACGGCAGAGGGGCGGCGAGATGTGGAGTTATATTAATATCGTGTTAAACAATTTGAAACAATTTGCTTCGCATTGACACGGGCAATGTAATTACGGCAAATTCCATGCGAGACAATGCCGCGACACCCCGCGCACGGAGCGCGTTGGTTCGGTCGCGCGGCGACGCGGCTCCTCGTGCGACACAATGGTGATTACATTTGATGTTCACCTGCTCGTCTTGTTATCGTGTTCACGGCAAAAGGCCTCTGATCGTCAGAACGTTTTTATCGAGTCGTTAGCAATAAGCGGCTCTCGTTCAATCCCATATCAAAGCGATTGTGCGCTATTGCCGTCGCGATTGTGACTCTGTTGCGTGCAGCTTACCGCACGGTTCACCACACAGGTGTGCGCGGTGGAAGTTTATCTACAGAAAGAGTCGAAGGTAGAACACACATGGTGGAGTGTATGGGCGATGTAATCCGTTCAAATTGGCGCTCGTTAGCATACCACTCGACGAGTGAAGTGTCCACTCCGCTCGCTGCGCAACGAGCGATTTACGATCGCGCCCTTTGCTGTCGTTGTTTTTTGGTATATATTTATTTCACTAATGTATGTACTTTTAGCGATAGCGAACGTTTACGACTAATTAATTTAACTGTAATTTTTTATTCATTTTATAACGTATTTGATATAAATAAAATAATTATAAATACTAATTAAAAACAGTTTAAAAAAAAATCATTATTGAGTATTTGTGGAAATTAATTTATTAGTGAGAACATTACAATATTTAGCAATTTATCACAGGGGTTAGCGATCAAATAAAACGTCATGGGGAATTCTGCACGTGAAGCCAGGAATATGTAGCACGAAACTCTATCCCACTGAGGCAGAGAGCACGTGGATGCGTGACGGGTGCGAATCGTGTTGATTCCCAACATCTTTTCTACGACTTTATGTAGTCTGTGACTACGACACAGACTCAACATTTTAAAAATATTGTACAGAATTAAACATGAAGGATTGTTGTATTCTAATAGCAGAATGCCTATCGACGACAGTGAATGACGACGAAGTGTCACGGATTGTTCAGAATAAGATTTACTTAGACGTACTTACGAAAATTTTCTTTAAATATTAAATGTACGGAATAAATAAAATATTTGGTCTGTGATTAAATTACTCGACAAATTCCTTTCAAACACTTTAAAACATATGTTGTGCACAAATTTGATGATGAGAATCGAAGATTGTAACTAACCCTATAACTCTGCGTATAGGTAAGATTTTATTTACCTTCGAAAAATATGTCGTTCAACACGAAATAGGCAGCGACGATAAATTAAGAATTTTAACTATTAGTGTAAACACACGAGTGAACTAGTTAAATTGCAGTGAAAATATTGTGTACTCCTCTTCCCAGTAACGGCTTAAGATAAATGTAGAGGCTCCTTTTAGACTCAGCAACAAGATTCAGTTGAACTCAAATATAAGTTTTGTGCATGAAGGGCTTCAAATCTCTTAAGCCCAGTTGTTACTTGTTGTTGATGACGATCAAATGTTGTTCGCCGGTCCTCGCGGTGCGTACAGTACAATGGCCATATGCCAACTCATCATATCTAATCCGCGTCCGCCGCGGGGCGCCACTAAGGGCCACCGCACACCCGCCGCGGTTATTATCAAGTGCATTCGCATCCGCTCAACCATAAAGCGGCTTTTGTCCAATATTTGGGTAACAACTACATTTTTGGAGTTTTAAACACCCAATAATTTCATCTGCCTCCAAAAATTTTTGTAATGACAACAAACGTATCATGAGAGAGTTCAGGAGATTATTACGCCGTATGTTCCATAATTATGATTTTAGCCCATTGATGGTAAGGTTAGTTACAATATTTATGAGACGTTGAATAGATTTGGCCGCGTACTAAGTCGTTGATGTCCTTCGTACCGACAGAATGTTACGATGTACGTGGCCCGCGGAGTCGCTACGCGTGGTGCTACGACACGTTCGCTACGAACAGTACTCGTGCGCTATGCTGTTATCATTTGCCTAATATTCGTATTTCACCAACTTTTTCATGTAATTACTTATCATTATTACAATTCATCATTATAATTTACTACACCCATTTACAATTTCTAATCAGAACAGAGTACAAAAAAGCGACCTCAAAAGTTCGTGGAATTATCTATTTACCTTTATTTATTAAAATCGGTTACCGGAAAGTGCGCGAAACCAGTTCCATCCTCTAGTTTGCCACCCTTAGAGGTAGACTATTTACTTCAAATGTAAATGGAACCAATACCTACTGAGGTAACCTCTTTCCAACAAAATAAGAATCATCAAAATTCATTCACAAATTAAGAACCTCCTCCTTTTCTTGAGTCGGTTAAAAAGGCCTTAGGTGGCCAACTTTTCAAAATGTATTAATAACGTTTTGCTTCCAGTTGCAGGAGCTTCGCAAAATTTATTTTTTTTTCTTTTGCAAAAAATTTGCTCATTCACCTGCATCTCACCTAAAGGAAAGTGGCGACGGGGTCGACGATGTAGCATGCACACCTCAATTAATAGCACATTTAATTATTGTGTATTTGGAAAATTTATTAAATAAATATTTTAACATGTACGCATATTACCTGCATGGGGGTGCCGGTACCCGAGGATGCTGTCGATAGTGTAAGTGGCACCGCGCGCGCGCGACTCCATGCCGACGATATTGTCGCCCGGCAGTCGTAGTCACAATCACGCAATCTACTTAGTGATGATTCTATTCAGACTCAACTCATCGGTTCCCACTTTGCAAAGCACGCTGTTGACCACAGGTCACAACAATTTAAATGCAACTGCACTGAAAAAGTTTTATTTGTTAATAAACTTTTCGCTTACGAAATGAAAAAAGTTTCAACACCAAATGGGACGTGCTCAGTTTACTGTCGATTTGCATTTCACAACACGCAATTTCCTTATTAAATAATGAATTATATTATTCAAATTATATTTTATTAATGAATTAAATTAGTTGAATAATTTCCAACACGTCTCGGGCATCGCTTATTACATCAGCAATGGCGGCCGTGCGATTCGGCAACGCGCGGGCTTTGACTGGCTTAGCCGTCGGGCTCGGCTGAGGAGCCAGCCTTCGGTGCAATCATTTGGGGTGGCGGCATAACCTGTAACGTTCATGTTATTTCATTCACACACGCAGTTGTTTCAGTATCGCCGTCTCACTTTGAACCCTGCCTACCGACGAAGAGGGCGGGGCTTCGGCTCGCGGCGGCAGTCGACGGCCCGACGACACGACCACGTGACGTCACAGCGCGACTTCTGCTGAGGCTCGTTGCGCTCATTTTGTTTGACATGCCTTGAACGCACTATTGTTCAAAATTAGTACATTCCAATAGCTAGTTATTGTCTAAAGTAATAAGATCGACAACATATAAGTGAATAAAATTGAGTCTTAATATTTTTACTCAGTTCAGTCGGTGGCGGCGCAGATGCAACTCTCATCTACTGCCGAAGTAATAATTCACGTCACTTCGCATTTGCACATATCTAAGGTCGGGCCTTTATCCCTGAAACGTTTTACAAATTATGAAGTTTACAAGTAATCTAAGCCGCCTTTTAGCCCACGCGGTGGGAGGTTTTATCGTCACTCCAAAATTGTTAATTATTTCTGTGAAACATAGATACATAGATACGCAAAGAGGACATCTTCGACTACACCTTGTGTGGCCGCTGACTCATACAAGACCACAAAGTAATTGTTAAACAATAATAATTACAAAAAGAGCACTCTCAAAATAGTTACAATGGCGAACGGTCAATGTGAGACCCATTACTTAATACCTATTGTATATTTCACTAGCTCTGTCATATCTTCACTGGAAGTGGCTCCGCGTTTGTCTGCTAAGTGGATTATCATCGTTGTCTCTTGCGGTAATCGCTTTATTGACAATGGCTCGAGGCTCGACTCCGAGAATTTTCCTTTCCTGCGAAGTACTTCTACCACGAGTAGCGACACGTGCTCGTGTTCGCTGCCTCCACGTTGTCGTCCGCCGCGGGAACGGGGCGAGAATTAGTGGCGTTGTTAAAATTCTTCTTAGTCAATCTCTGAATTTCTTTGATTTGACAGGTATTTAAAATAAAAAATGTGTAGGGTATGTTTAGAGTCCAATTTTCGTCTTATTGCGCTCTCCGTACCGGTGGCGGACGTACGGCGTTGAAAAATCATATTCGCTACAATCGATCAAAAGGGGTTCATAGATATCGTATTCGCCTAACATACGAGCCCACTGCGAGGATTATTTCGGAGCAACAACCCATTTATTGTTGGAACATGAATCTGGAGAGTCTACCTAAGTGATCATATCCGAAACAATGTGAACACAATGTATTTATTTATTTGTGTCGATGGATAACAATAAGAAGATTCCCCATTTAAAGGCGGAAGGCGCGAACAGGAGCGCTAAAGCGCCTTGCGGATTGAGGGGGGAGGGGCGCGTGCGAGATTGCGGACATTACGTCGAGGACTGTCGCGAATTAAGGCAATTGCGCCGGAAAATAAAATAATAGCGGCCCATTAGCGTCGCGGGGAGGATCGGCGGGAGAGGGGTCTTTCAAAGACTTGCAGTAATCGGCGGAAATAAATCTTTGAGGCGCGACAGCGACAGAGCAGCTGCGCGCGGCGAGAGCGGGTGACGGCCTCGCCGAGGCCGGGGCGGGTTTGCTGCAGCGGCCACGGAGCGAGTGGTGGTGCACTTACGTTTGCTTGCAATGTTCGATTCAGTTGGAAGAAACACTCCCAAATGTAACAAATGTTTTTACGTTTTCGGCGAACAAAGTCCTGCTATGACTATTTTTATCCGCACAGCCGATCCCGAAAGTATATATATATATATATATATATATATATATAAATAGCGATTGCAGTGAACTTGAATATTAAGGCCCAAGGAAAATAATTACATTGCTCAAGTCGTGTTCTACAATACCCAGAGAGAAACCAACTCAACACAAAAATCACTGAAATAAAGATCTTGATAAAGAATCCTAGCCTGGCACCAGCGCTCCCCCGTCCCCGACGGCCTCGCGCCCCGCGTTGCGTCCGCGACGATGAAAGCTGCGGATGCAAATTATGACATTACGCGCCAATTAAACAGAGCGGACGCCGCTCTCCCCTCCCCCGCGTCCCGCCCTCACAGTTTCCTGCGCGCGGATAATTGCACCCGATTACGTCAAAGACTGTTGCAAACCCTTGCGATCGCGGGATATGACAACTGAAACGAGACTGTCACCAGTTCGTACTCGAATACAATGCCTCAAAACTTACACAAGCGTCGCAGTTTGTGTTTCTTGACAATGGACGCGGTTGGATTTTTTTCGGAAAAAGTATTTCAAAACGAATTCTTACAGAAATAGTCGTGCTTAAATAATTTAAGTTCAGGTAACATATTAATTTTATACGAAAACATAAATAACATAGAACAAATAAGTTAATTACTCAGTGTAACTTTCCATTAAATAAATAGGGACTTAGGAAATATTCATTTGCGCAGAGAAGACAGTATCAGCGGCGGAAGGAAACCGCAAATTAGCCTCTCCCCCGATATCCCCCCCCCCCCCCCCCCCCCCGCATTGCCCCTTCCCGGATTGTTTGCGCCCATTAAGGGCGCTTTTATCGCAACGCAGATTCATCGGCGACGTCTTTGCTCCCACTCACTCGCATTATCTCCTAATTATTTCCTATGCGCCATAATTTCAGAGATACTCTTTTGTCTGATTTATCGTTATTTACAGCATGAGATAGGTAGAGGTACATAGTTTAGATCGACGTGATTGTTTAACGATTTTTGTAATATTAAAAGGGTACGAATCTATTTCCATAAAATGCAATAAAATCTTGAAGCATTGAGTATTAGGGGTCGAAACAAAGGCAGGTGTTTTCATCTCGAAATCGATGGACGTCGAGACGAATGCTTTCATCCTCTCAACCTTTGTCGAGGCACGATCGCCTTCATCGCGTTACGATACATTAGCGAGAGTCGAGAGTCGCCGATCGGATCGGCGGCGCATTGTTCGCTAATGGACGCTAATGCGCGCTCGTCGTGACGCGTTCTCGACGACGCTGCCGTCGCCGCGTCGAGGCCTTGGATGGCTGTGAATTGTGCCCTTTATATATTTAACGAATGATTTATTTCATACGTAAAATAAATTTACACTTGAAAACGTCACATTTCAGCTACTGCTGAACACTACGCTGACTTCCCTGAGAAGAACGAGCAAGAAACTCCAGCGATTGCTCTTTTCAAATAAACTTAAATGCATTTTGAAGAAAATTTGCGTGGAATCTAGAACCATATCGTCTGTCCATACATCTGTATCTACCACGTAGTCTTCAATTCTATAATATAACTTTTCGAGCTAAATATTTTTAATGTAGTTTTCAAACTTAAGATATGGTAATCTTAATATATGCTCCAGAATCTTATTATACAATTCCCCATAAAAGAGTCGTTTACCTTGGTTAAACGAAATTGTGGCACCAAGAGTTTGGACTTAGGTCTAAGGTTAATATTACGGATACCTTCTATCTTATTGAAATTATGTATATTTTTACGGGTATATAAAATATTGGAGTAAATGTACTATGATGCCACAGTCATGACACCAATCTCTGAGAGAAACCCGAGAACCTAAACGGTACACAGAACGAATCGCTCGTTATTGTAATACAAATTTGGTTTAAGCGTCCGCCACTTTACCCCACATGAGAATCCCGTAGAACATTATACTATGGAAGTAACTAAAGTAGACTAGTCTAGCAGTAGCAACATCGGTAAGCTGACGTATTCCGCAGTATGCAGCGGAACTTAATCTGCTGGACAGGGAAGATATATGTAGAAAACATCAATTTACTATTTAAGGTCACTCCCAAGAAGACTGCTTTATTAACAAGGTCTAACTTTTCTTTGTTTATTTTTATGCTTGGCCTAGATTTTACGTTAGGTAATTCAAATTTAACACTCTTTGTCTTTTTGGCAATGAGTAATTAAGCAATAAATTGTTAGCATTAAACCAATAAACTACCTTAGAGAGGGTATCGTTAATATCTATGACTATATTATACTATATTAACTACTATATTAACGTCATTTCTGTCAGTTTTAAAAATCAACCATGTGTCGTCAACGATCAATACTATTTTGCAATGGTCCTTAACAAAGATGGCAAATCATTAATATAAAAGAGAAATAAGAAAGGTCAAGTATTGGGCCCCGCGGAACACTCATTTTTAAAAACCCCGACACAAAACAACGAACCCTAAAAATCAATAACTACAATTACCTGGTCATTAATCTTACAATAATGTTCGGTCCTCAAAGGCGTTCGGGGACAGTTAAACAAATAAAATAAGGTGTTAAAACATAATAGATAGCTCTATATCACGTAACATAAGAATAAAGATTATAAGCATTGGAAAAATGATATGAGCCTACTGCTAGCACTGGAATCTTCCAATAAGTTAACATTGAAGTCACCACAAACAGCTATATATTTACTTGGATTATTTAATTTGCCTAAAGTTTCATCTAGTCTTTTTTCAAATAATTCGTAAGATGAATGAGGAGTCTGTACACGCTTAATACAACAAGCCGTTCAATCTCGATGCAGGATATCTCTATAGTCCGTTCGATAGAGGTTCACAATATCTGTACGTTCTTTAAATTTTAAATTATTTTTAATAAGTATTAAAGAGCCGCCATGAATAGCTTTTTCTCTGCTGAACGAACTAGC